TAAACTTTATGCCTGCTACAACCACACCTAAGTATTGTTGGCGCATGTAGTCTGCTGAATTTGATCGCAGCACAGGCAGACAGATTCTGCAGTCCGTGGACATGTGTGGTGGTCATCATATTTCATTCATAAATATGACAACAGGATGCATCAAACATAAACTACTACTACTTTGTGTACTTTGACCTGTGGTATGGACTCCAGTGATTTTTTCCTCCGTTTCTTCTTTTGTTTCTTCAAAGTCTGCGCCTCTCATGCATTGATTTTTAAGGGAATGAAAGGAGCCACTCAGGTGGCAAATGAAGCAGGCTGTCTTCATGCCCACAATCACGCAACTGTGGCAAGCCGAGTGAGTGCATCTGCAAAAATACCAAAACCCAATCGAGACCGGCTCCGCACACTTAGTTGATACTGGCAGCAGTGCAAGCTTCAGGGAACTTTCTAACTTCCGAAATAGCATAAATATACATAAACATAACTAGCCTGTTATGTTTCATGTCAAAATCATGGTGTATGTGGCTCAGCCCAGCTTGGTGACCACACACATAAGGAATTGCAATCGGAAATAATCAAACAGGTTTAGTATTTACATTAGCCACCCCCCATGACTGTTTTCCGAGCAGAAAAACACAACCTATCACTTGAGATAATCTTTTCATTGACCAAACAAGAATCGTTTAGGAATAGTGTCGTCAACATTATACGATTATACATAATATGATACGCCCAAAACTTGCGGTCGATGAAACTGTAAAGTTCCGTACAGTATCAACAGGCCAAATCCTCTTGGCTCTCTGGCCTCCATCGTGCAGGAAATAAGAATGTTGCGATGCTAACAATAGGACCACTGTTGTCATTTTTGCTAGTCTCTTTTTTGCGGGAAAAATAGTTTCTAGAGGGGGTCGTAAAAGTCACTAAGTATAGCAAAACCATCGCTTAGTTGGCAACACCCCAGACACCACACTTTATGGTCTCTGTGAGGGGCAGTCAAAGACCGAGGGAGGACAGGATGCGGCTCCCAGCCCGTACTATGCCCAGGTCTGGTCTACACTCTAGTTTGTCACAAAAGGATGATCACGATAATCTTGTTCACATGCGATGCAAGAAAAATAGATGAAACAAGGCTCTATACAATTTTATACTTTAGTTAAAAGCCTCTATTCCTCTCCAAACATTTATGATGCCAACCCTGTAATTAACAGCCTGGTGTGCAGTCATTGGAAGGATATGTTTTAGATGGCACCCTGCGAGCGACAGGCGTTCAGCGGCCATTAAGTGATGAGTCATGGCCCATGCAGCCATAATTTACGCTGCTCCTTTGTTATCAAGGAGACTCCTCTTGCGTTACTCTCCGTAATAGGTGGATCATTTTCAAATGCAGCAGTAATGACAGAAAGAAAGTGATGACATCGCCTGAGTAGTTTGATACGCGCCCAACTTTATGACGAAATAAGTGGGAGGGAGCTTCAGTCGAATAAGTCAACTTTATTTTCAGGTGTTCATGTACTTACAAGACATTCAGCACAATTGTGAGTTCTGTCCTCTCTCACTTATGGTGCAAACATGCACACCAAACTGAGCCAAAGACCTCACTGCGAAAAGCATTATTATTATTACAGTATTATTATTATTTTTTTTTAATAAATTCCTTCATCCTCAGGTGTCAAAAAAGCCGGGCTATATGCTCAAACAGATTTGTTGCCTTTATCCAAGTTTTTCCTCCATGTTTTTGCATTCACTACAAGCACAGCTCCTGGATTTTTTCCCCCTCCCGGGGCTAAAGGGAGCCTTAACCGAGACATATGGGGCCTGAGAAATTAATTTAGAAATAGATTTTTGAGAATCATATCAAATGCTGGAGGACCTTAACTAGGGCTAAACAGATTTCTGATGGAGCAATAGCACCACCTAGCCCCGGTAAACTGCTGTCCCTGAATCACTGGCAAACAAGTCTCCACATGCACAATTTCAACAAACTTTGACATTTGAGTAGAGCTGTGGAACAGTTGTGTGTATGGAATTAATCATGCTATGAATTAGAGCAACTACATGGACCACCATACTACTGAGGTTCATCCCAGGACATGAGGCTCATTGGGTAGCCAGAACTGGGTGGAGGCCTCCTGTCATCCTCAATGTGCATCACAACACCGCTCACAGCTAATAAACCCACCTACTGGTGTAAAGATGCTTCAAGGGAAAAATGAGAAGAGCTGCTTACAAATTTGCGACTGAAATCTTCTGCAGACCAGGCACAAGGCAGCAGCGCCTGCAGGCTGAAGTTTGTGTGGCATTGTTATGGTGATGCTCTTTGAATGTGACAACAAAAGGCATCCGAAGTTGATAGCGACGAAACCCTTTTTGAAAGTCGAGAAATGGTCCTGAATATAATATTATAACAAAGCATTATACACTTTTCAACATACTCTTATAACAAATTCATGGGGATTGTAGAGGAGTATTAGAATAATGCAGGTCATATTCTCACATTCTCACTGAATGCAGTTTATTGATTAATTTATAACGCAAAGTCCAAATAAGTTTGTAACTTAGATATATGGGGCCAAATCATTATATATTGTGATTGGCTGGTGACCAGATCTGGTTGGACCACACCTCTCTCTGTACAAGTCAGCTGAGATAGAATCAGGCTCACCCGCAACCCTAATAAGGACAAGCGAGATAGAAAATAGATGAATGGATGAATTGATACAGGAAAGTGATCAAACTAAGCTACCTTCTTGTTGAAAGAAGGTGATTGTATTGATGGATGAATGCGGCGTTTACATGATGTGAAGCACATCAGTACCATCACATGTGTTGTCACTTAATGCAACAAATAGAAAGAAAGCAAAGAAGATGATTAATTCTACAAATAAATGCGGCATACTTGTAACTGACATTGATGTATGAGTTGCTTACTCAATATTGTTTGATCTTAGCCAAGGTCGTTTTTATTCACTTTTATTTTGGTCCTTCCATTGGTTTGTGTGACAGTTTTGTGATTTATTATTTGATTGTTGACATTCTTTCTTCTATTTACTGTGAGTACGCAGGATCATATCAATGTCAAACCAAGTTGAAATTAGATTTATATCCGTTTATAACTCTTCAGGTTAGATTGTCATTTGTTGTTGTTTCACAACTGCTCTGCTCAAATGAGGCGATGATATCCAGATGTCCTTCTGAATTCCAAATAACATTCCAAATACAAAGCAGTTCACAACTGAAGATTTCGGAGGAAATATTTAAAGACTTTGCGGTAGCCCTCGCTTGTCAAATTCTTCTCAGGAAAAAAAAAAAGACGTACGTCAGACATGCTAAAGTCAGAAAATTCGGATTTGAGAGTGATTGGCCTCTCAACAGCTGGTTGCATGTAGAGCACAATGGAGCCAACGAGGGTGTGGAAGGAGATCTCATGCTATCACTCACTTTTTGAGGAGCCATTATAAGAAAGGGGGGTTGGGGTCATGAAACTGGAGGAGAACAAAGAAGTCAGCTGCTCCTGACAAGCCAGAAGAAAAAACACATGGCCCTTTGCATACATCAATTTCTTATTACCATGCATAACTCCACTTTTGTTGTTGCGGTTCCTGTTGTTAAAGATTTTTAACTGGAAGTAATCTTTTTTTTTCACCTGTTAGAAAGTCAAAGAGAACAACAATCCAGTCAGATAAAAGTAAACAACAGTGAGTCTGTTTCCATTTCAACTACTGAATGCTAATTAGTAGAGGTCATTAAAACAATATTTGTTTTGTGTAAACGTAAGCACAGTGTGCGAGAAAGAGTGTTGTTTTTGTGCAATGGCTTTTGCCGAGATGTTTTTCCAGAACCACATTAAATAAACATTTAAATGTTAATAAATTGAAACAAATAAATGCCATGTAATTGGAGAAAATATATTCAAATTTGGTTGCAAATTTTCTACCTTGTAACACATTGAGATCTTTTTTTTCTTTTGATAAAGTCATGTTTTTGAATAGCGAATAAAGTAAAATACAGAACAACTCATGAATAAAATACAAATACAAAACTTTAATTGCTTTTATTTTTCAATCTTGTAGCACAGATTTGCTGCAGATGTTTGTACATTGTAGCAGTTTATTTGTATATATTTTCGTAAGACCTGCCGGGTGACTACAACGAATCCACTTTTCATCCTGTGAAGATGAAAAATGGTGTCTAACAAAAGGTGAACCGGAGAAGTTACACTTATGCACTTTGGGACCACAAATGCTCTTTGTGATACTGTTCCTCAACTGGGCGTGCTTGCACATAACGCTCGTCTTTTCCTTCAGGCATTCAGGCTGTGAGTCGTGTGCTCAGCTGAATATACTCACTGATTGTATCATTGTATGTATGTCCCTTTTAAACTGCTATCAATGCCTGCTGTCTGGCTGTTTTGAGGGGTGGAGGAGGGGTTGCTTCTCTCCACATTGCTCCGTCTTTACTGTACAGTATCTCATTAAAAAAAAAACAGTTGGTGAATTGTCACAGATTTGATTCCCTTGACAAAGTTGTAACACATTTGAATGTGCGGTTCATTCAAACCTTCCACACAAGGTCATATTCACTATTTCCATCAAGCGATTTGCTTTTAGTCATGACTGAAGCTCGATGTCGTGAAACAGGAGGAAGCTGACTCACCCAACCAACCTGCTTCTGCAAAAGAAAAAAAAAACTCCTCATGTAACTGTGAAAAAGTTGGAGGTAGCCCCTCCCCCACCCCCACATGGTGCCTTAAGAAGTTAAAAAAAAGAGGAAGAGGAGCAACAGCGCTTCAAAAGGTAGCTTACACCATTCTTAAATTGAGTTATTAACGCACGCTTTGGCATTTAAACATCTCGTTTAGAATTACTACAAAAACGCCACATTTGACTGCATGGGGAGGCGATGGGGGGGTACTTGAGCAGATGATTAGACGCTCGTTCGCAGCTGATGAATGTCTTGATGTCGACATGGCAACGAGCACTAGGTAACACAAGTTTACGTTTCCCAAACACACAATAAACTGCATTTTCCAAAATCAGTTGCAGTTAGCAGTTTTACTTTCATCTCAGCTGTTAGTCGCAACCACGTGACATGACTCTTCTTCAGAGGGAGGACGCGCGTGCGCGCGAGGTGAAGTTAGGTTAGGAAAGGAGGAGGAAGAAGGGGGGTGGGGGGTCGTCGTCACGCACGCGCCTCATCTTCTTCCCAACGGCTGACTAAAATGATTGAATAATTTGTTGGGGGCGGAAGGTGAGCCGAGCCGAGCAGGATAGGCGGCATCAAAGTGAACTTTGAATAGATCACTCCAACAAAAACGGCAAAGATTTTAAAAAAGAGACCAAAGAAGTCGGTGTTATCATACCGGAAACGGGAGAGGAGGGTGGTTCGGTTATTGTTTCTTCCTTCTGAAAACAAAACAACTTGTTGACGGTTAAGTCGTTGTTTGGACCCTGAACGCACCACAGACACGCACAAAGTAAGTACACGTACTGCAAAAAAAAGTTTGTCTTTCTATTCTGTGTGAGATGCAGTTGATTCAGGACACATTTCAACATAGTGTACACAAGAGACAGATAATAGAAAGGTAATAGGACGTTTCTTAACAAACGTTTATTCTCGGGCCGAATACAACGTAGCAATGAAGACATTTTTGCCAGATTCCTTGTTTAGAAGGTGTCTATAAAGCAAAAATGTGCGTGGCAGTAAAAGTGTTGATCACTTTGGACGTGCATTAACAATAAGAATTATATGCTCCCACTTGGCAAATTTTCGTGTGGAGGGGGTGGGGGAGGGGGGTAGGGGGTTATTGCGGAACACATACCTGTAATGTTTGAATTGTGAGGATGCCTAATAACTCTTGTCGCTTGTGAACGTTTATTGACTGACTTTTTGCCAACATTCTGTGACGTCACCGTTAATTGAAAAATTACTTTGGGTAAGTGGCACTTTGAAATATCTTTCCCCCCCAGCAGTCATCAAAGGTAGCTCACATTCATTTTCTCTACTATGGTAGAAAAAGTACACATTCTTGTGTGTGTGTGTGTGTGTGTGTGTGTGTGTGTGTGTGTGTGTGTGTGTAAAAAATAGAATACCGATTCCATATCAGAAGCTGTGGGTGTCAGACTAGTTCTTAATGATAAGTGCCATTTTAGGTGCTGCTTTATCTTCGATTGGCTCCTGTAAATGGAAAAATAGACAGATGCACGTGCGACAATAAATACATACATACATTTTATTCTAATGTGAACAGTGGGCGACTTAGTATTCTAATGTGTACAGTGCTTACATTAGTCCATCTCTGGGCCAGTCACACAAGGCAGCTGGCAGATTGAAATCAAATTAAGATCAATGAGTGCAGAAACCGGGTTGGGATAGTGGCCAACTGGTTAGCACATCCACCTCACAGTGCAGAAGTGCAAGGTTCGATTCCAGCCTTCCGGTGTGGAGTTTGCACGTTCTCCCTGTACCTGCGTGGGTTTTCTCCGGGTATTCCGGTTTCCTCCCACAATCCAAAAACATGTGTGGCAGGTTAATGGAACACTCGAAATTGTCCCTAGCTCTGAGTTGATGTTCATTCATCCGTGTGTGCGCCCTGCAAGTGTCTGGCAAGCAGTTCAGGCTGTACCCCACCTACTGCCCAAAGACAGCTGGGATAGGCTACAGCACGCCTGCGACCCTTGTGAAGACAAGCGGATTAGCAAATGGATGGATGGATGGATGGATGGAATGCAGAAACCCAGCAAATCAATACTGTCTGCTTTGATACAAGGCTGGCTTTTATCTGTATTTCGGGGGCTCGGTGTGGTATTTAAATGCAAACAGTTTTCATATCATCACCTTGATAGAAGGGTGCCTAAGTCCAGTCCCGAGAGTTCCTATCGAGCCTGTTTTAGATGTCTCTGTCTTCCAACACACCTGTCTCAAATGATCAGATCAGCAACAAGCTCCGAGAAGCCTGATAACAATCCTGAGCATTAGAATCATGTGTGTTGGAGGAGGGAGACATTTAAAACAGGTAGGATGGGGGCTCTCGAGGACCGGATTTGGGCACCCCTGTCTTTAAAAAAAAAAAACAACCGAAAGCCATATTTTGAAGATTTTTTTTTTTTTTTTATGCAGTTGGTTTTAATTAGTTTATGAAGCAAGTATGTTTGTTAGTTTTTTTAAATGCTTTGTGTATGAAATATTTGTCGAGTGAAAGCCAAAAAAGAAAAAGAAAAAAGTGATCAAGGATTGTGTAATAGGGTAAAGGAAACAACAACTCAAATAACTGACCTTCCTTATTCTGTTGCTCCAGATGTACAACAATATTAACCCTTAAAATTTCATGTATGATATTGACAAAGAACAAGCAATACATTTAATTTAATTAAACCGTCGTTCCTGCATTTAAACTCGGTGTTAATTTTCCAACGACGCACAATGTTACACTTTGTTTCGATATTTTAGTGTTGCTCATTACGTACTTGGAGCGCTACCCTAAGTATTTATGAGGTGGTACGAGATGTTTTTTTCCAGTGTTTAAAACCACTGTATACTAGATATATGCCCTCTGCTGGTCACCATGGCAACCGCAAGCCAGCTCACCTGCGTTGGGCGCTTCCTCCGCCCACGCGAGAGGGGCTTCCTGTTCGGCAATGTCACCCACCGTCTCCGAGAGAGACTCCACCCACTGTCCGTCTATCGATAAACAGTGTATATCTATCTATATACAGTGTGTGTATGTATGTATGTATATATATATATATATATATATATAAAAAACAAAACCAATAATTGTTCAGTTCATATTTACCATGTTTTCCAGGCAGTCTCTAGAACTAGAGGTTCTGTCTGACCTTGGTATCTATAAAGCTTCGTTTCCTGTTTCATTAAATTTGATGGCAACTTTCACCTACCGTCATAGAATGTTTTGTGGTATATTTTACCAAAGCCTTAGGAGACTGTGTTCTTTACGCTTGCAGATTCCCAATAATCTTCATTGCACTGTTGCTCTAACCCACAATGCCAACTCAGGCTCTGCTGCCATTTGTGGAGAGCCCGGAGGGACTCACCCAAGACAGTTTGAGTAGCAAAAGCGCCAACATCCCGGGATCTGGCTCAAGCATGACTCCTCACGCCACCTACCCCTCAAAGACTGCGGCACAGTGCGGAGCGAATGATTCGCCGTCTTGCATGTTCTGCGACGAGACGTTCAGTCACCAGGAGGAGGTCGGGCATCACGTTCTAACACAACACCCCACCACTTTCTTTGAGCCGGCCGTGCTTAGAATTGAAGCAGAATTTCGGATCCCGGGGCAGAGAACCCGGTCCAAACCAAGCAGCTCGGTGCTGGACAAAGAGGAGGTTCACACTTGTATTGTGTGTGGCCTGGTGTCGCAGGACGCCAGCGAGCTGGAGACCCATCTGAGGAAGCACAAGGACTACTTCACCTATTGCTGTAATGTGTGTGGGCGGCGGTTCAGAGAGCCCTGGTTCCTCAAAAACCACATGAAGATGCACGGTAAGTCAGGAGCCAAGAGCAAGGCCCTGCAAGACCAGGAGGGCCCTGTCACTGTCAACGGTGTGATCCAAGAGCCCGTATCAGAGCCTGTGGTCACCGCCTACAAAATGTGCATGGTGTGTGGGTTTTTCTTCCCAGACCACAGCAGCTTGGTGGAACATAGTAAAGTGCACAATCGAGAGTTGGGCCCTGACAAAGGCGGAGACTCTGAGTCAAGTGGCACTGCGACTGAATCTATGACCCAACAGAGTTTTTTTCAAAGTCTCAATCTCAAGCCTTGTCTCACAGGCAAATCTTTGCAGCCTGAAAGAACATCGAAATGGATTCCCCAACTGGATCCTTATAACACATTTCAGGCCTGGCAGTTGGCCACAAGGGGCAAGATTGCAGTTGGTCCTATTACTATGAAAGAGATGGCCAGCACGGACAATGAGGACTGCAGCTCTGATAAGGAGCAGATGAGCTCTTCCTGGTCTGATAGTCAAGGAGACAAGAATATCAAAGAGGTTCTCGGCAGAGAGCTCAGATCTCAGCAGCAGGCCGTGGCAGCGATCCTGGAACCGCAACTACCACAGCGGAGGTCCCTGATGCAGAAGAACAAAGAGATTGACAGGCCTACCACTTGTAATGAATGCCAGCGAAGCTTTAAGACCTACCACCAGTTAGTACTTCACTCCAGGGTACACAAGCGCGAGGGAGGTGGAGAGGAGCGCCCCACCGTGCCCGCTGAGGGAACCTTGTCCAGAACAGCTTCAGCAGCTTACATGGACAATGGGGCTGAAGAAGGCTTTGAAACAGGTACCAGTATGTGTTTGTGCGCAAGATTTTAAATAGAAGTAAATATTGATGCATGAAGAATATGGTCATCCCAAACTTTAAGGTTATCAAACTTTTTTTAAAAAGACGATAACTGTAAAATTATTGCTACCATTTGTTTCCTGTCTCCTGCTGTGTTTCTCCCATGTACAGTACATGTCGCTGAGCGAGGAAGGAGGACCTCACCCACATCTGGCATTTTTGTGTTGTCTATGTGGAACTTTAAGATCTTTGAAAACTGTCACTGACTATTTCTCTTCCGATGTTCTCTTGTTAAAAGGTGAGGACAGCTTCTACCACTCTAAAGAGCGATCGAAACACTGCAGCTTCTGTGGCAAATCATTTCGCTCAAGCTATTACCTAACAGTGCACCTCAGAACTCACACAGGTATGTTCAGCGCACTCATCTTTTTACAGTGGAAATGTCAAAGATTTTCTCATAGGAAATAAGCTGTTCCAGGGACATGTCACCATCATTACATAATTAACGGAACGGGGAACATTTTAAGTACGTGTACAATATAAATCGACAACTTTTAATGATAGAACATAAAAACAAAAGTCGAGTCAAGTACAACTTTATTGTCAAATGTGCTATATGTGCAGCATACAGCACAGATGAAATTTCTTCCCTCTCAACCAGAGAGCAAGGCAACAAGAGGAGCCGCTGCGGGTGCCCGCGCCGCCATCAAAAGAACAGTCAACATAAAATGACAAAATAATACAACACAACACATAAGACACAGACAGTTGTGCAATCTTAACCACTTTTCCTGCATACACTTTGTTTGAAGCTTGAAAAAAAAATGTTAAGCGAAATTTTTATATTGAGTAAGGAACACTGATGTGAAAATGGAGAGCGAGGACTACAAGAGACTTCAGCATTTCACTTATGAACATTCTTCAGTCATGAGTGTAAAAAGCTGAGAAGAGTAAAACATAAAAGCAAGCAATCAATCGATAACTTGTCACCCAACCTTAATGAGTGACAGTTCAAAGAGAGATGACTAATCACTTTTGCTTGGTAAATTACTTGCGCAAGCTCCCATTACGGTAGAATTTACATTCAAAAGTCATATCGAACTAATTATCCAGTACAGAGTTGTGCATACCACTTTCTTGTTTGGAAATAACTTGAATTTCTGGTTCTGCTGTTATCATCGCAATTTTCTTCTGTGCTATCACAAAAAGCACAAAGAAAAAGCAAAACGTGCTCATAGGATTTTAGCCAAGTTTCACGTGACGATGTGCCATCTGTTTCCATCTCTGGATATTTGAGTTCAAGTTCCATTCTGAATCACCTGACTTAAGAACTTTCTCTGCATACAATTCATCTTGGTGATATTTTGCTCTGTTCGGTTCTTGTTACCCTCTCTTTGTATCAGGTGAAAAACCGTACAAGTGTGTTTATTGCGACTATGCTGCCGCCCAGAGGACATCACTGAAATATCACCTGGAACGGCGTCACAAGGACAAACCTTATGTAGAGATCCCAAGCAAACCCGACATTCCCTTGCCCTCCCCGAGTGACAGGAAAGGAAATTCATCGATGAAAAGATCCAAACTTTGGCTTCCTGTGGCCACGGGAGAACTACAGGACAAATCGCAAAGCCGTGGCGGCGAGCTTGACAAAGTGGCTGTGCAAAACGATGACGAGCATGAAAAAGTCATTGCTAATCGAGCTTTCAACGCAACTGAGAATGTGACCATAAAATCCCCTGTAGCTGTTCATCTGAAGGTGGAAAAGGAGAAGATAAAAGATGAGAATTGCGAGGCTCCAATAAATCTGTCCCTAAAAGTATGTCTCTCCGTCCCTGCCAGCGCCCAAACCAGAAACGCATCAATTCCATCCGTGTGTTCATTCTGCACGTATAAAACCATCTACCCGGAGGTTCTGATTATGCACAAAAGACTGACTCACAAAGACAAATGTGGTGGTGCAAGAAAGAATACTTACGGCAAGCAGAGACGCCTCACTGGCTGCCCACCTGCGCTCCTTGGAAAAGACGTCACCCCGCTTCCGATGATTGACAGGCGCCATCCCCGCCGAACCAAGTCCCCACCACCGCAGCCGACAAAACCCAATGAAATGATGCCTGCCAACCTACCTCATGCGCCGAAGGCGATCCACGCACCTCTTTATGTTGGTCCCCATGAGAGAAAGCGTTTCAGGCACAACGGGGAGTCACAGTCTGACCAGGAGTCTGCTCACTTAATTGGGCAGGTGAGGAAATCCAGCGTGGCCGGCATGTACCAGACTAAACAACCGACCACGTTCACCAAAGTAGCAGCAGCTGAGAGGAGTTTCCCTGAGAGAAGTGCAGCCAAGTGGCAATCTGACGCTGCCCACTTGCTCCTGTCCAGCCAGTTTGGGAGCCTGCCCCAGATTGGCGAGCCATCCAGCAAGAGGTTAAAGCAAATTCTACCTGTAGGGGGCGTGGACATTGGGTTCAGAGGACCACCGCCGGGTGACGGCCGCATCAGGCTGCGTCTCCAAGGGAGTGGTGTTCAAGGTATGTCCGAAGGGTCGCATCCACCTGCGGACATCTTGGCTCCGTTAAAGAGTACGGCCATTGGAGGAGGTTTGGATACGGATTGGAACATGATGAATCTCCTGCGTGCCTGTACGCCCAACAACCTGGCATCTCTTTACCATGGCGTCCCGGCAAACCAAAACCACGTGGGGCTGGCTCATCCAAGAGCAGGTACGTAGGATAGCTGCTACAGGGCGGGGTTAGGGGCAATCATCTTTGGTGCTTTCATACCCACAATTGTACTTTTGTAGTCTCAGTCGGTTGAGGATTTGTAAACTTGGGCCATTTCACACCTGTTGTTTCTTATCACTAGATAAAATACATCACTACAAGTTCATGTGACCTCTGTTGTTTACTTTTATATTGCACTGATTGGGTATCTGCCAGTTGGATCAAGTTCTGATCGTTTTCTCATCAGAGTTCAAAAGATACAGTTAATTAATATCCGCACAACATCGGTTTGAGTACTGTGGTCACACCTGATCAATTGAACCGTGCCAAGGGGAAAACCAGTTGTGTTAGATTCAAACAGACTAAGTGAAAGCATCGTAGGCAACTGTTTGGTCACATGCTGTGGATCTAACATGGCACATGTCTTCCTCAGGGGCCAGGAGTGTGCTGTTCCAACACTTACCCACTCTGCCCATCCTACCCAGGAGAGAGTCCCCAGCCCCCGTCTCTGAGCAACACTCGGGGACCTCTGATAATACAACGTAATATGTCAAAGCACATTGAAGGACCTGCAAAATTTTTCTTCACCTATGGCCTGACATAAATGGGTCCTTTGGAAAATGTGAAATTATTTTCACATGCTGCTACCTTATTTTTGAGACTGTTGGATGTTGTTTTGTTTCTGTTGCAGGTTTTTTTTTTTTTTTTTGCAGGTTTTTTTTTTTTTTTTTGCAGGTTTTTTTTTTTTTTTTTACGGTTTTTTTTTTTTTCTCACGGCTGAAAAAAAAAAACCACTCAAATATTTGTTGGCCCAGAAGCTTCCATTCTAGTCTGACCCACACTAATGTTTACCATATAACATTTGTGTGTCTTTCCAGCACATAAAAATCATATCCAGTAAACCTTTTCTTGTGCAAAATGTTGCTGCTATGTTCGTCAGTGGAGCCCCTCTCCCGAAGCACTCACTGACTGGTGTGTTCCTGTTGTCAAACCTTTGACGCACAATGTGAAAATTTTGAGTTGGTGTAGAACTACATGGTACGTCGAGCCCCATAATTTTCTACTTGGTTGTCAAGTTGGCCAATGGTGTTTGGGTGGTACTATTTTTCAAATGGTCCTCAGATGTGGTGGTTAATATTAGTGCTGCACATTGTTGTTCTATGGCATATTTTCAGTCGGGTTGCTAGGTCTTAAAGACTCTTTAAAGTATTTGATTTCATACAAAAGTTGTTCATCCCGGCATGTTAACGTTAAGGGGGACTGGATTCTCAGGGCCGCACAAATGAGCAATCAGCCATAACGACGACTCGCAGAATTGATTTGTCAATGTGAATAAAATATCTCAGGCAAAGTCAGATTTACCAACTTGTGCCACCTCGAAGATTTAACATTAAGTTATATTTTTTTGTTTGACAATTTATGTAATTAAAATATATTATTTGAGATTTGTATTATACAGTTAACTAAAATAAAAAAGGAGAGCCAAAGAGGTGTATGTCAATTATTGGTTACCTTTTAGTTATTGGTCATAGTGACTAACTTGTCGAATCGGAACACCATTTTGACAGCCACAGTACAGGTCCATTTAACCGACACCCATTGAATCTTTAATCCTAAAATCATTTGTCTGATATTTTGAAACAATACAGTGCAGTGACTGCGTCATATACAGACTTGTCATTTAGGGTTGTATTACACTGTATTTTTATTGAACTCAACAATGGCTTCAGAAATCTGCCACTAGAGGGCAATATTTACAAAGTACTGTTTTACTTTACTGGGCCTGCAGGTTAACCCCATTTAGGACTCCGTTGTCGCTCGGGAGTATGGTCTAAACCATTTATTTTATTTTCTTAGCATTAATACAAATAAATTGTTCCATATTTTAGTCTCTGCCTACAACAGGGCGTCTCTTTCGTGGGTCCTCCGAAATAGTTGTCATCAGAAGTTGTCCCATCGGGTTTCAAACGCTGCCTGCGCATTGCTGTCAGACTGGAGGACGTTTCACCATAACGTCAGTCGTTGTGGGGGGTAAAAGGCGAAACGTTTGCCCGCGGCACGACCAGTGAACAAATATTTGAATTTGAATGTTATTTGACCAAGGCTGAGCGATTTAGAGACCAGGCTAAATGGCTTCAATAGTGATTTTAGACGCCTACTGTGTGAAGTAATCCAGGGGCGGGGCTACGTGGTGGCCCGACAGAGCTACCACCACATCTCGAGCAAGATTTTGATAACTATGACTTTCCTGCCATTTTCACACGGGTGCAATATGCTTAGTCCCATTTATTCTCTGCCGCAAGACATTTACATTGATTGCATATTTTAAGAATACATTTACAATTGATCCATATGCAAACTCGAATTAAAATTACTGTCTTGGGGTGAAGAACGTTTGACTCTTACAGTCACTGTCATCGGTCGAAACTTGGTCATGGCAGACCTAGACTGTCTTTACGACATTCATAAGTGCTCTTCGATGGACACAAAAACACTGGGGAACTTGTATTCTTTTGGAGGGTAGCCCAAACTAACTTTTTATTCACATCTGTAAGAAAATGGCTTCGTTGCACACAGTACACAGTACATGTGTCCTGTATATGTTTTTTTCCTTTGCCCTAAATAATCAGAATTTCATCATGAAAACTGCTGTAGATATGGTATGGAAGGCAATCTTACTCCTGGTTTACCAATTTTTTCCCAGGTTAGAACAAATATGCAGGTTTGAGAGTCACAAAGGGCCATGGATGGCGTCATACAAGAAGAAGAATGACGTGTTTTTATTTTAATTTTTTTTCCCCAGAAGACCGAGAGCGAATAGTGATAGCCTTCTTATGATTTACCGCAAAACAAGTAAATTACTGGTATAATTACTTTACAAATAAATCAAATTGAACTCCGCTTTTCTAGGGCTGATAAGAGAAATGGACTGCTCTGCGGAAGGGACCGACACAGTTGGGTGTGCCAGCCAAAAATAAGAAAAATACCTTCTCTGCTCAGACCATTATTTTCAATCTTTCTCAAAATGAATTTGGGGAAATCTGTTCAAAGGACTGGACTGCGGGATGCCCCAGTCCTGACAGCAGCTTTGTCTGGTAAAAATGGGCGTTGAGCCTCCAAGAATCAAAAGACGCCCTTCATGAAATGGCTGCAATAATAGTTGCTGCCTTGATAGGTGGACAAACGGGGAAAAAAAAAAAAATTAATACTGCTGGAAAGCATCACACAAGCGGGTTATGTGGTGCTTGAGGGAAAATCGAACAAAATATGTCACAACTATAAACTAACTCCTATGCCCTGCCTTACTGATTTTTATTCATTGTTTCTTACCTGTATCAAAGCGAATGAGGGAGAATAAACTTACATCACAAAGACAGGACTTGTCCTTTGGTTTCCAACCATCTTAGTTACGCATTTTCTCGGCCCATATTTTGCTTCTCTTGGTGCCACGGGGAAATGTATGGAGCTTCGCACCTCTGCCACTTAATGTGTGACATCCTACAGCCACACCTGTGTCCAGTTCTGCAGTATTTGTTACAAAAATGATAAAAGAGTCAAGAAAAGACACTGAATTCCACACGATGACCTGCAAGAGGGCACCAGGAAAATTATATCACCGCTTACAGCCAATCGGCGTCTGAAGCGACGGAAAGAGCTTAAGTTGGCCAGACTCTGTATATACAGCGCTGCCACAAGTAGTATGTGGTTTCCCTCTGATGGTATGTGAAAGAATCACTGGATTAAATGTTTACGCTGTGCATAATTTTACAGTGATTTAAACAAAAAAACATGTTCAATTCGTTCTTTTTAACATTTGTTGCTAAACCAAAGTAGTTTCAGCAAAACTCTTGAAGTCCAAGTAAATTTATACTGATTTTTTTTAAACAATTATGGCAAAACATGCTTATTTGGAAATCTACTAACCTCCCATTTTCTTATCCGCACAAGGGTCGCAGGCGTGCTGGAGCCTATCGCAGCTGGCACACATAGACGAACAACCATTAGCGCACACAACTACACCTCGGGACAGTTTGGAGTGTTCCATTAACTAGCCACTTATGTTTTTGGAATGTGGGAGGAAACCGGAATACCCAGAGAAAAACCCACACAGGCACGGAGAGAACATGCAAACTCAACACAGGAAGGACGGGGCCCGGAATCGAATGGTGCACCTCTGCACTGTGAAGCGGACGTGCTAACCAGTCAAGTACTGTGCCGCCCTCCTTTAATTATGAAAATACTAAAATATATATTTATACTGAGACTAAAAGCACAGAAAAGGACTATTGACTTGTTGCGGACAAAACGACATATTCAATCAAGACTGAGTATCGTGTCAACAAAAAATGACAGTGGACAATCTTCAGCACAGTGAATACTTAATTGAACTTTGGGCTTTTTTTGAACCCCCCGCCCCACTTCCCTTTGAGTAGACCACATCTGTTTGCTGTCTGCTCCCCTGGGCCAGCACTGTGTAATCTATTGCATTAGCTCACATTAGCGCATATTGCCCATGGGCCTCTGTAATCACGAACGCAAAATGAGCATTTCACTTAGCATCACCCTCATATTTCCCCCGCACTGCGCAAACACGTGGCGGTCGTCGCAAGTCGACAATAGCTTATGACATCGTCCGCTGACTGTCTCTGGGTCCGCCAAGGTGTGTGTGTGTGTGTGTGTGTGTGTGTGTGTGTGTGTGTGTGTGTGTGTGTGTGTGTGTGTGTGTGTTTTTGAATGATGGATGAGACTATAAGCAGGCAAAGATCTGAATGTTGCCCAAGTTGATTTGCTGGCGTATTGAAACATCAGGAAACAGATTGTGCCGTGGCAGATGTTTACCTCCATCTTAAGACCCAACATAACAACAAGATGACAGGCCCTCCTTTCACGATCATCATAATCATAAAACTTAATTACTGTATTTATGCAAATAGTGGGTTTATATTGACTGAAATGGGGGCCTTTATTTATCCAAACAAATGTTTGAAATATTGAACAATACTAGTCCTATATCACACTGGATATCAAGTGAAAAAGAAGACTAATAAAAATGGCTGTTATTAAAAAAAAAAAAAAAAAAACCAAAAGCGGCGCACTGGCAATAATCAAGGCATGCAGCTTTCTGGAACATAACATCATGTTGTGATCATGTCAGGGACAACTGGAACGTCCGAAGAAATCATCTTTAATATTTTGCACGGGATTCGGTTACAACATGTGGCAAGATTCCACAATTTAATTAATCTGAGAGAGTGCTTTTGTGCTTTGGTGGGTACTGTTGTTTTTGTTAGCGGCTGAGTTCAAAAGAGCTGAGCAGTTAACTGTTTAATCTTTGTGTGTGAATGGATAAAGATAATTTACACTTTTTCTCCTGACAGAAAAACAGGTGTCAATTTGAGGGAGGGTGCATTTTTCTTAAGTGGATGGAACATCCAGTGACTAAGTAATTAGGTCACAGCATCAATTACAGAGACGACTGCACTTTTAAGAAACTCAACACAACAAAATTAAAAAAACAAAATAATTCATCAACTGCAATGGCACATTGGAGCCAGCTGTGTTTTCAGAGCGAATCCAATGTCATCACTTGGGTTTGAAGCACCTGAGGTCTTCGCAGCTCCTTCTCAAGTCTCTTTGGTCATATGGGAGTGCACCAATCCAAAGACAAATGGCGTTTCATGCTCGTGTTAGCATCCACTC